CATAGGGGCTCTTCCCCTCCTGCACTGGCCCCTGCCCCCTCACTCCATGATCTCTGGCAGGTTCCGAGAGCTCCCGTCCTTGTCTTTTGCAATACCCTTTTCCTGCTAAGGTGACAATCCTCCTCCTCTGCTGAGGACTGAGGGGCCATCTGGACACAGGACACTAAAACAGGTTGCGTCCAGATCCCAGGCAGCTGCCTTTGCCCTTGATGCCCCGGACTCCCCCTTTCAGCAGCGCCCTCTCCTGTCTGACCTCTTCTGCCTCTTAGGCTTTTATTTCTTTACTTTTACTTTTTTTTTTTTGCTACACCCCGCAACACTCCTGGCTCCCGCACTCAGGAATTACTCCTGGCAGGACTCAAGGGACCAACTCAGGTAAGCTGTGTGCAAGACAAATGCCCCACCCGCTGTACTATTGTTTTGGCTCCTATTTTCAGTTTTTGGGGGGCCAAGTTTGGGTCACACCCTGCACTGCTCAGGTCTTACTCGTGACTCTGCACTTGGGGATCACTACTGGTGAGACTCAGGGAAACATAGGGGGGTGCTGGGGATCAATTCATGGTTGGCTACATACAAAGCAAGTGCCATAGTCTCTGGGAGGTTCAGCTATTTCTTCAGCCCCTCTTTTTGGGGGAGTTCCCTTGGTGCTTGGGGGAAACAGGCAGTGCCAGGGTTCGAACCCCAGGTGCTCTGCATGCAAAGTTGTCTCTGCAACCCAGATTTGCTCCCTCCCAACCTCCCCTTGCCTTGCTGGAGGTCCTGCCTTCCGCCTACCCCTCTGCCCTGCGCCACTCACCCTTCTATGTCCCTGGAGGACTCCCCACTCCCTGTGCTCCATTCAATCTTGCTCACCGCTCCAAAGCCCATCCCCTGGCAGACTCCTGAGCCCTCTGGCCCCACTGGCTGGTGTGGGTGGTATTGGCAATGCCCCTGCCATGGGACTGGCTTCTCACATCCCTCCCATGCCAGCTGGGACAGTCCGTGGGTGCTGGGCAGCTCAGCCCTGAGCCTCTGTGAGGTTCTGGGAAAACACAGCAAGTCTCCCTTCTATCCACCCAAAGCAGAATCCCAGGGGTTCAGTTCCAAACCAGGCTTCACTGGCCTGCTGGAACTGGGGTGCGGGGGAGGGGAGGGCCAGCTGGGGTGTGTCCAGGAGACACAGGTGGAGGAGTGGGGTCCCAGATCTGCCAACCTCTGCCACCCGCCGCCTGCTGCCCTGGCCCCACTCTTCTCTGGCATGTTGTCCTGGGAGACACTGCGCCCAGAGTCTGACCATCTGGAGACTTCCAGCCCTGCTACCCCCCCCAAACACCGCTGACTCCCTCATCTCTGGGCTTCCTCACCCCCATTCATGAGCCTGAAGGCCTTGGGCTGACCCTGGATGTTCCTCAGCACTGGACCGTGAGCCTAGAATTGGACAGGGGTGTTCAGAGGCAGGTGGGGCAGTCTCTGGAACCTCAAAGGCTGGGCGGGAGGCCAACGATGGCCGGTGCCTGGCACTTTGGTGGGGAACAGATTGGGAAGATTTCTGGGGGATGGAAGCATGAGGAGTGGAAGCCAGGTAGGGACCGAGCTGATCTGGGGTCTCCCTGCTGAGGCCACAATGGCCCCCAGACCACAGAAATGCTTCAGTGAGTTCAGACCTCAGCAGGTGGCAGCTTTTGGACCCCTCAATGGTTGCTGTGGGACAGCCCCACAGACAAATGATGATGCCCTCTGTGATGCCCTTCTCTTGCCAGGGACCCAGGGAAGCAGGATCCTCACCATCCAGATGAGGACCTGAGAGACAGAATGACCCAAAGCCACCAGCAGGCAGTGGAGACTCAGCTGGAACCCACAGCTCAGCCCGCCCTAAGGTCAGGAGGAGGCAGGGCTTTGCCCATTATCAGCGGTCAGTGGGCAGCAGCGCTGGGAAGGGAGGTGTGAGCCCCAGGACCTCCTGCCCTGTCTACTTCAGTCCCAGGGGATAGTCAACTTCCTTGTCCTGCACAGCCTCGGGGCTGTTCCCTCGGGCCCTCCAGGCAGAAGCCCAGAGCTGTGGCCAGCTCCTTCCCAGGGCAGATTCCAGGCCTGCGCACCAGGGACCACCCGCCCGGTCTAAATACACTGCACCCCAAGGGTGGAGCTGCAGGTCCAGCCAGCTGGCTGCCCGGGTCATAAGCAGCTAAGGAAAAGGTGTGACCGGGATATTGGCAGATGTACGGGACAACCGGCCCTGCCCATCCTGCAGAGGGAAGCTGCGGAGGGCAGTGTTGCAGCAGCCAGGCGTGGTGGAATGTGGCGTGTGTGCGTGTGAATGGGGTGTGGGGTGTGGGCGGGGAGGACAGGGCTGGCGCCAACGCAGACAGCCAGGCTTCTTGTCTCATCTGCGCCACAAGCAAGCTGAGTGGTTCGAGCAAAAGGAGCAACGTCTCGGGGCCTCCTCCCGATCAATAAAATAAAGCAGTGGAGAGCCCCCCACCCCGGGCAGAGGCCTCGGAGGAAGCACCCAACCCCTCCCCGGGGTTCTGCTGCCCTCTAGTGGTGGCGCAGAGAACGGGCGCTCCCTTCTCGCTGGGGACCTGGCTCCTGGTTGGACGCTGCTTCCGGCAGGAGAGCCCTAGCGGGTAGTTGCCATTTGAGGCGCTCGGGGTTGTGGACGGAGAGAGACTGTTATGAGACTGTTATAAACAACCCCCCCGCCACACCCCGCGCGCGCGCGTGCACACACACACACACACACACACGCAGTGTACAGAACACTTGGGTTACTCACGCTTGTCCTCATTCCATAAGCCCCAAGGGAGGAGGCTCTGTAGTTTGCAGGGACCCAGTGCCCAGGCCTGGGGCTGTCGAGGCCCTGGGCACACTGTTCCTGCCCTCTGGGAGCCTCTGTGCACTACAGGGACAGAGCGTTTAGACCACAGACTGGAGAAAATGGAGTGAGGCTTGGGACAGGTGTGGCCAGAACCCTGCATCCCCGAGTGAGTGACTGTCGGATTGTTCAGGGCACGTGGGCTTCTGCCTGACATTCTGGGACGTTGTAGCCATTGGTTAGGGTACTCTTCCCCTTTCTCTGCAAGCCCTTACGAAAAACCGGGCTGACCCATGGATGGGGTGGAGAGTGGCAGGGGAGGTCCAGGACCTGAATCTGAGAATCTCACCTGGCTCGGGGCCTGGTATCAGAGATGGCAGAGAGCACTGTGTGAGTTGCGCCTGCCTGTCCCCCCCCTCCTGCACCACCCCTCCCCGTTGGTGCTGTGGAGCCTCTCAGCTAACCAGGAGCACACCTCAGCTGTGTGTGTGGTGGAGGGGTTCTAGGCTGGAACCCAGCAGTCTGTGGGGCAGCACGTGGAGAGGGGGACGGGAGAGGTGAGAGACAGGCCCCTCCAATGCGCCTCTGATGTGTCACTGTTGCCGGGAAGGGACGGGACTGACTCAGTGGGAACATCCGGTGGGAAGGAAGACAGTGAGCGGGTGGCATTTACTTGCAGCGGGATGGGAGCTTTGGGGCGGTGCTCACTCGGGGCTCCGGGCGGATGAGGGGTCAGGGTGATGCTCAGTGCTGGGACGGGAGGGCCGACAGGAGGAGTTGGTGGAGAGGGAGCAAAGCTTGGATCTCTGGCTGCTCGGGAGCAGAGAAGAGTAGTGGGGCTTTCTGCTTCAAAGACAACGGGGATAAGTGGTGATTAGAAATTGGGGAAACTGAGTCCTGGTGAGTTAACGATGTGGGGAATGCAGGGATTGGAGGTGTACTCCCCCTGCTCTTTGTCCGGACAAGGCCAGAAAGCGGGGGGAGGCGTGTAGCTTGTAACTACTAAAAGCAGAGAATCTGAGACAGGAGCAGATTAATCCCCTTCCAGTGTTCCCTCTCTACTTTGGACCCCATCCTGCCCTGACTCCTGGAGGCACCATTCTCAGGTTTAGGGAGATTTGGAGAAAAGCAGTCTCCCTTCTTGGGGTGGCAGAGACAGAAAGGGCCACCGCTTTGCCCAACTCTCAGCAAGGGCAAGAAGGCCCAGAGTGTCAGAGCCACTGTGTCAGAGCTGGTCATGCACACGGCTAACCTGGGTTCATCCGGACATCCCACATGCATATGGTCCCCCGAGCCCTGCCAGGAGTGATTCCTGAGTGCAAAGCCAGGAGTAACCCCTGAGTATTGATTGCCTGATGTGGCCCTGAAACAAAAAACAAACCAGGGGCTGGAGCAATAGCATAGCGGGTAGGGCATTTGCCTTGCACGTGGCCGACCCAGGTTCGATTCCCTGCATCCCATATAGTCCCCAAGCACTGCGGGAGTAAATCCTGATTGCATGAGCCAGGAGTAACCCCTGAGCATCGCCAGGTGTGACCCAAAAAATTAAAAAACAACAAACAAAAAACAAACCAAGAAGTGCCAGAGCGGGGGTGGGGGGTGGGGAATGGGGGTAGAAAGATAGTGGGGGGAAGGGGGGAAGGGTCAGCCTGAGGCACTGAGGTGAGGGAAAGCACCCCAGGCCTGGGGCAGGAGACTGGGTGGGGTGGGAGAGCATCTTGTGAGTGGCTGAAGTGCAGGGAAGACGCTGGAACCTGAGGAATGAGTGAGTAATGGAGGTATTCGAGGTATGTGCAGTATTTGGGGACTAGTGGAGTTGTTTGATTCCTTCCAGTGAAACGAGTGCTGGTGGGGAAAGTGAGAGGGAGTCCCTTTGGGGTGCCCGAATCTCGGATGGAGGCAATGGACTGAACCGCAACCCCCCCAAGACTTTCTCATAGCACACATCTGATCTGCAGCAGGCAGGGGATGGGGTGCCGCGACGGTCCCGGGGGAGGGGAGGCCAGGCAGGAGCCGCCAGGCCCGATGTGTCCCGGCCAGTCTGTCTGGGGACGCTGGGCAGGGCAGGGAGAGGCGCGGGGCAGGGCCAGCAGGCGCCCCGTCCCTGGTTCTGTGAGTGGCTGGTGGGGGCGGTGGCCGCCGCCGTTTCCTGGCCGGGAGCCCAGGGAGTCTCGTAATCACAACATGATCTCGTGTGCGAGCCGAGCTGGCAGGGAGAGGCCACAGAGGCCCGGCTCCGGCTCCGGCTCCGGCTCGGCTCCCTCGGTTTCTGGCTCCCCTGGGGCTGCTCTGGAACTCTCTGGTGCTGCCTGCCATGCACTCAGCTGTGAGTGGCGCCTCGCCCCTTCTGTGGGGGGCTGCTTGGGTTGCGGGGGGTGGGGGGGAGTGCAGGCTGGGCCGCCGGGCAGTCGCTCTCAGGGGGCAGCTGGGAACAGCTGGGCCCTGGAGGAAGAGGGCTGTGCCAAGTTGGTGGGAGAGAACCGGAGAAGCCAGGGGCCCCCTAGGGACCCCCGAGACAGGGAGGGGCTGGGTGTCTCCCTCCAGAGGGGCTCCTGGACTGGCCTGTCCTGTCCTGTCCGGCTGCCTGCAGCTCCGGCTTGGAGGGCCCTTGGAGGGTGAGAGGGGCCCTTCCCCACCCTCTGGACACAGGCCGGGGTGTGGGGTCTGGGAGCTGGGCGCCCGGGACGGCCAGGGCTGCCCTGTTTTGCTGTAGCTTTAGGCCTGGGAGTCAGACTGCTCCCCCTCGACCTCCTGAATGCCCTGGCAACACCCCAGTCCCAGCAGGTTCGGCTGCCAGAGCCATTTATAACTCCCCTCCAGGCCGGCTCAGCCGGGCTCCCTGGGGAGTGGGAGGAGGGGCGAGCCTAAGACAAGGCCCTGAGTGGAGCCTCTGAGGGGACAGGCAGGTGGGGGCTCAGGGCCTCTCCTGAGCCCTCTCCCCCTGGAGCCCCTGCGCCGAGTCTAACCCTGTTCATCCAGGGTAGGAGGGATAGAATGGCGGGCAGGGCATAGGACAGTGGGTAGTGCACTTGCCTTGCACAGATCGCTTCAGTTTGGTCCCCAACACTCCTGTATGGTTCCCTGAGATCTGCCAGGGGTGACCCCTGAGCACAGGGCCAGGAAGGAGTAAGCCCTGAGCACTGCCGGGCGCGGTTCTAAAACAACAACAAAAGTGTGGGTGGGTGAAGGTGAAAGCTGGGAACTTGACTGGCAGCCCGGAGTCTAGACCCCCTTCCACCCGCAGGGGCCTCAGCGGGCCGAGTCCCACCTGAGCAAGCAGCAGGAGAAGGATGCGGAGCTGGACCGCAGGATCGCTGCCCTCCGCAAGAAGAACCAGGCCTTGCTCCGCAGGTACCAGGTGAGCGGCAGGCGGGCTGGCGCGCAGGGTTGGAGATGCACGCTTGCATTCTACCCCGCTGGTTCTGGGTGCCCCGCTGGTGTTTTGTCATGGGGGCCTGTTGGCATCAGTGTCTGCCATGAGGCTGCCACGATGCTGACCTTGTGTCCTCCTGCAGGAGATCCAGGAAGACCAGAGGCTGGCAGAGCAGGGGGGTACGGCCGGATCCCCTACTGAGCAGCTCCAGCCTGATGGCCTCACCATCACCATCAGCCAGGTTCCAGGCATTAGCCCCAGCGGGAGACAGGGCGGGGGCCGGGGGACAGGCACAGGGGGACAGACAGCTGACCCGCTCATCTTTCTTGCTGATAGCTCTGGGGTGCCCGTGTTACTCCATCCCTCTGTCCCCAAGGCATGCCAGCCGAAAACCCACCGAACAGCGGCCCCTTTACCAGCCCTACCTGCACCTTTGCCCCTAAGTAGAGCACGGGGTGCCTGTGAACCCTCATTTCCGGGGGGACGGAGAAGGGCGGCTGGAGGCCAGGAGTAGTGTTGAAGGACAAAGCGGCATTGTGAGGCCTGTGTGAGCCCCAACTCAGAGGGGGTGGCGTCACCCGGGCATCCGGGGTCCAGGGTGGCCCCAGGCCCTGACTAGTCTCATGCCACTGGCATGTGGGTGCCAGGCCAAGCCAGCAACTCTGTAGGCATGCCCAGGAAGGGCCAGTGCGGGCACCCAGCCAGGAAACCACTCGAGAGCCAAACCCCAGCTCTGGCCTGCGCTGCCCTGGGACCAGGGGCCTCAGTGGCTTGTCCTGCAGGGGAAGCGGGTGGTCAGCCAGAACTGGGTGCGCCGCCTGCCCGGACCAGGAGCGGCCGAGGACAGTCTGGAGGATGACGAGGCGGCGGGCCCAGCCGGGGCTTTCTGCTTGGGCGAGCGGGTGGAGCTGGCGGTGACGATGGAGAACAAAGCCAAGGTGAGCAGACCGGTAGGGGCGTCGGGGGAGCGCCTCCACCTCTGTCTCTGCCATACCGCCCGCCCACCCTAGGCCAAGCGGATTGTCAGTGAGAAGCCTCTGGGAGCCCGGAGCCAGGGCACTTGGGGCCAGACTCAGCCAGCCAGCAGCTCAGCCTCAGCCCGGAAGGTACTTCTCCAGGGGCAGATGGGATATGGCTGCCCCGTTGGAGGGAGGCACAGATGTCCCCCCATCTGTGGCGACATGCAGCCCCCCAATAAGAGAATTCCCATCCCCTTCCTCTCTGGCCCCACCGAGAGATGGGGTGGACAGGGGGTGGTCAGCCCTTACCTACCTGGGCTCTGGAGGAAAAAGAGACGTGTGTGTGTGTGTGTGTGTGTGTGTGTGTGTGTGTGTGTGTAGGGACTGGCTTTGTGCCAGGTGTAGCCTCTAGGTGGCAGTAGCTCGATACTGGAGGCAAAACCTCCCAGGACTAGCCCTGCCCTATGGCACACAGGAGAAGGATGCCCAGAGAGCTCGGTGTCCCCCAAAGGTTCTGCTAACAAGCGGGTCAAATATGGGCCCACAGACAGTCTATCAGAGGCGGTGCTTCTTTTGGGGGGATGGGGGCAGCCCGGAGGAGGGGAATCCTGGCTCTCCAGCTCGTGCTGCCCAGCGCTGCGGGCACCCACCCTCTCAATGCTGAGGTCCTTCTCCTTGCAGGCTGCTCGGGAACCCTGGAGTCCGGGCCAGGGCGCAGGCCTGGGGTCCGGCAGGAGCCCCCCAGAGGTGGGCTGGGACTACGCCCAATGGAAGCAGGAGCGGGAGCAGATCGACCAGGCGCGCCTGGCACGGCACAAGGACGCGCACGGAGAATGGCGCCGCCCGTGGGATCTGGATAAGGCCGCGCCCATGTGGGTGGTGGGGCCGGGCAGGCGGTAGGGCAGGCGTGTGGGTGGGGTCTGGTGGAACCGGGTCTGGGCACCCCGGGGTGGGGATCAGCTTGGGCCCTGGCTCAGGGCTCTCTGTCCCCTGTCTTCCTTGCGCCCACCCTCTCCCTGGAGAATTCGTGTCTGAGTGTGGCCGTGTCCCTGGGTATGGTGTCACAGCCTCTGTCCCCCCTGCCATAGTAGCCGGACCCCCTTGTCTGTCTATGCAGGGCACAGCACTTCAGCAAGCCTCGGGAAGAGGGCCTGGCCAGGGCGGGCAGCGCCAGGGGTGAGCCCCATGCCCCCCAAGCCCGTTTTCTCCTTGGCTTTCTCCCTCCCCGGCCCAGTCTGTCTCCTGATTGACTCCCGTGACCCCACTCTCTGCAGTGATGTTCCTGCAGTCTGGGGGGCGGGCTGGCGGAACCCTGCTGGGGTCCCTGGAGGGAATGGCTGGCCCCTTCACTGCCTGGAGAGTCACTCCCCTCCCCTCAGAGGTCCGAGGCTCTGGGACCCAGCCTCGCTGCTCTCTGGAAGGAGCCAGAGCCCTCCTCTGGGCCAAGAGGATGGATGACAGTTTCAGAGTCCTGGAAGAGTGGGCGCGCGGGCTACAGGAACCCCACCCTTGCCCCATTCCCCTTGCCTCTTTAGGTCCTAGGAGCCCCCGAAAGCTTCAGCCCTCACTCTCGCCCCCTGGTGGCAAAGGTGAGTTGGGTCAGGCAGAGCAAGCGGGGTCCCGCCAGCTGGTAAAGAGGCCAGACTGTCAGGGGCCCCTTTTCCTTCAATGTGAGGACCCTCTCTTGCAGGTGGCACTCCTCGGGGTGGGCAAGCCGGCAGACCCTCTGGGGCAGCAGCCCCCCGCAACAAGGCCTGGGGGATGGAAAGGCTGACGGGTAGAGCCCGCAGGTAACGGGTGGCCAAGGGTCTGTTGAGGGGGTCATGTGGGTTCCCCTCAGCCCCGTCTCCTGGCTCCTCCTTGCCCTGGAGGGGGGGCCTGCCCTGTCCAGGTTCCTGCTCCAGCTCCCAGCTGAGAGCGCCTGGTGGCAGGTTAATGAGGTGCGGGAGAGAAGGTGGTAATTACAGCAGCTGCTTCCCCGGGGAGCGGGGCAGGCGGGCCTTTCCCAGGCTGTGCGGGCAGGGACATGCCAGGAGCCCCCAGAGAGCTGCAGGTGCTGCGCGTGGCCATAAGCAGCAGCTGGGGACCCGGGAGGGCCGCGGTGGGAGGTGATCCGGAGAAATGGCTGGATTGGGGGCCCGGGGCCAGCGTCCCGGGGGGCTCCTTCTGACTCGCCTTCAGCTTCTCTCTGGGGATCTGGGCGACCAGCCACTGACCTGTGAGATAAAGTGGGGGGTGGAGAGTAGGGTCTGCCACGCGTTGTGTTTCCACAGGTGGGACGCGAAGGAAGACAAAGAGCCCGAGAGCCAGGAGGTGGGTCCCTGGGCACAGGAAGGGGAGGACTCGGGCACAGGCCTGGACTCGCCGGCAGCAAGCCCACCTTCTGTTTCAGAGAGGCCAGAGCAGAAACTCGGAGGATGAGAAGGTCAAGCCTCAGAAGCCGGGTGGGCCCCCGGGGCCAAAGCCAGGCAGCCCCCCCAGCCCTTGCCCGGCTTCCACAGAGGGGCCAAAGGAGGAGTCAGCAGCCTCGCCGGCCACCGCAGTCCCTCTCTCGCCACCACGCACTGACCTGGCTCCCCTCGATCTTTCTCTCGGAGGGGCCAGTAGCCTTGGGTCCAGGGAGAGCATGAGTGTGCTTGGTCCTAAGCCGGGGGCCCAGGAGAGCCCCGTGACCCAGCCTGGGGGTTCCGAGCAGCCCTCTGGGTCGAGCGTTGCCCCAACCAGGCCCGAAGTCCAAACTTGCTCTGAGTCACCAAGGGGATCGGGGTCCCCTGAGACCAGATCGGACAGCCAGGCTGACGCCCAGCAGGGCCTGGCACCCCGAAACCGGCCCACCAGAGGGTCTGGGCAAAGGACAAGGGGCACGGAACGGGGGAGAAGCAGGACGGGAGGTCCTGGCCACGCAGGGAGGTGCTGAGCGAGCTGCAAGGAGGCTTGGGCGAGGAGGAGTAAGAACAGTCTGGAGTTGTCTGCGTGAGGGGCGGCTGGCGGCTGGGCGGGCGGGCGGAGCAGTACATGGGCTCCCCGGGAGAGGGACACAGTGAAGGCAAGGAGCGGGCCCACCCAGCACCTCCCGGGCACGTCCCTGTGCAGGACCAGCCCCCGGTCTATTCCTGGCCACAGCTGCTCTCAGAGGCTGCCCGGGACACGTCCCTCCTGCCCTGTGCCGAGTGGCCTCTCTCTGCAGCTGCTCAGGTGCAAGCAGCCTTAGCAGTGCGCACGGCCGGCAGAGGCCAGGCCCGTTCCCACGCCCCTGCCTCGTACCCAGGTGACTCACAGTCCGAGTCACAGGGAGGCCAAACCAGGGCGTCACGGCAACCAGCTGGCAGCCTCTGCCTTTTGGAGAGACAAACTGATTCCCAGAGAAAGGGAGGCTCCACCGCTGGCAGGAACAGAGCCGGGGACTGGGCAGCAGAAGTCAGGATCTTTTGGAAGAAATTTCAGGAAAGTCCTCCCCTCTCAAACGGGCTGGCAGAGCTGCCCCAGGGATCCCCTTTGTGTCCAGGTCGGACAGCAGCATGCCCTGGACCGAGCAAGCAAACGAGGCCCCTGCAGCCCAGGGTCTCTCCAGCCATAGCCCTGTGCCCCTCCTTTCTGCACCGGGGATAGAGCGGGGGGGGGGGGGGTGTAGGGGCTCGGTGACACCCAGGCCTCTACCAAAAGGGGGAGATAGAGCATGCAGCAGCCCCAGGAGCTAAGGCATCGGGACTCTCCTTGCTCGGTCTCCCATTCCTGTCCCTCCCCGGAGGCCCACGTCTGGTGAATGATCCAGACTCCGCACAAGCTGTGGCTGCCTTTCAATTCAACAAACATTTCCTGCGCACCCACTCCCAGCAATGCAGCCGGTGGGCGATGATGCTGCGCCAGCTGGGGAGGGAAGGAAGCAGGGAGCCAGGGGAGCCAGGCTGCGCAGCGGGCACTGATCCTGGCGCCAGGGCCTGACCGGGGCCGGAAGGGAGGAGCCCAGGGCCGCTGTCCCATCGCCTGCCGGCATAGGCCTGCACCACCTTTTTCTTTTTTTTTTTTTTCCTTTTTGGGTCACACCTAGCGATGTACAGGGGTTACTCCTGGCTCTGCACTCAGGAATTACCCCTGGCGGTGCTCAGGAGACCATATGGGATGCTGGGAATTGAACCCAGGTTGGCCGCATGCAAGGCAAATGCCCTACCCGCTGTGCTATTGCTCCAGCCCCTGCGCTGTCTTTTTCTAGTCATGCATGGCTTTTGCCGGGATCTTCCCATGAGGCAGTCCCTGCCCCCCGCCATTATTGTTCCTTTCTGACCAGGCCTTGGCCTCGCCAGCGCCAGCCCCTCTGGGCTCTCAAGAGTGTGCCCAGATTCTTTTCAAGATGTCTCCACTGTCCCACGGGCCTAAACCAAGGGTCACAGCAGTACTTTCTCACTGTCCTGCACTTCACCCCGCACCCCTCTGCTCAGGGAGGACTGGGGACTCACTCCTGCCATCCAGACCTACAGGGAGCTGCTTCACACACCAGGGCATGCAGATCAGTGAGCCAATGCAGTGGGGCTGTGGGGGCCTGAGAATTTGTGTTGCCAAGAGGCTCCAGGCAAGGCTGAGGTGACTGGATCATCAACTACACTTTGAGTGTTTGGACGAGGGCACAGCAGGGCTAGGGGTGGCGATGTGTCTCTACCCAGGGCTGCCTGCGGGCTCTGGGGACAGGCTACTGGCATCTGAGGCACCCTCACCCGTGGGGCTAGGGGCCACCTGCTTCTGCAGTGGAAAGCTGACCAGGCAGAGGCATGAGGAGAGACTGTGAAGGGGCATTGACGAGAGGGCTTGGTGACGTGGGCTGGATGGGGGGAGACGGCCCCTCCGAGACATGGCTAGATGGGTGTGGAAGAGTCCAAGCTGGCTGTCTTCGTTCTTCTTAAAACCATAATCCTCAGAGATGTGGCTGAGATACAGCAGTTTCTAGGAATCAAGAACAACAGTGAGAGGGTAGAGCGATAGCACAGCAGGTAGGGCATTTGCCTTGCATACAGCCGACCCGGGTTCAAGTCCCAGGATCCCATATGGTCCCCCTAGCACTGCCAGGAATCATTCCTGAGTGCAGAACCAGAAGTAAACCCTGTGCAATGCTGGGTGTGACCCCAAAAGCAAAATAAATAAATAAATAAAAAGGAGAAGAAGAATAGTGATCAGGAACCAAAATGCTAAGGGCTGAGAGAAAGTACAGACAGGAAGTTGCATGTAGTCAGTCTGGGTCCATCCCCAACACCACGCAGGGTCCCCCAGGCACTGCTAGGAGTGATCCCTGGAACCACAAATAATCCCTAAGCAGTACCAGGTGTGACCCACCTAACCCCACTTCACAAAAAAAAAGAAACAAAATTCAGATTCTAAGATTTCCAAACCCCCCAGCCCCAATGGTGCCAACGGTACAAAACGTCATTAAAGGGCATGTACTGAGGCGGGTTTGGCTACAGGCTGGTGCCAGGTTGGCTGTCCCTGCAGAGACTGAGCAGGAGGAAAAGTGGAGCAGAGGGCTAAGGGGAAACAGGGCTCTTCTACCAGAACAGTAGGAGAAAGGACACTGCAGGAGGAGCGGATGGAGCCTGGCACCGGGCAGCTTCACTGTGGAAGAACAGTACAAGGCAAAATACTCTGACTTTCCCATGCAAAAACAGGGTGAACTCTTCAGGATGAGGGAACCAGCAAACATGGTGGCCATCCCTCCTGCTCCTTGTTGGATCCAGCTAGGAACCTGGGGACAGGTTAGATGTCCCTCTACCAGTCCTGGGGTCATGCAAGCCTGGTGCTGGTATTCCCAACCCTTTGTTTAAAAACCTGACTGGGGACATCCTGTGGGTGTCCTGTGCTCCCTCCCACAGGCAAGGGTGATCCTTTGAGGGAGTTACTCATGAGAGCCTTCCCAAACTGTGGCCACAGAGAAGAGAGAGCACAAGGGGAGAACTCAGTGGAACTGCAGGCATCTCTGGCCTGGCCCAAGAGAAGGGTGTGCATTTGGATGTCTGGCGGCATGGCAGTGGAGGGGACAACAGACTTTGGTGGCCAACAGTCTGAACCAGAATCCTAGGTCTGCAAAGTGCTAAGTAGGGGAACTTTGATCTATTTGAACCTCCCCAAGCCTCAGTTTTCTCATCTGCAAAATGGGGCCAGGGATCTGAAACTTGAAGGGTTGCTGAGAAAATAGTGGAGCAAGCGAAACTCAGCCCCGCAGAAGCTTAGTTTCTGGGGGCCAGCAGCGCCCCGCATACCAAGATAAGACTCTGAATATCTGTGGAATAAACGAAGTGGCTATTTGATGTCATCGCAGTTGACTTTTCTTTTCCCTTCCCTTCCCTTGCCTTCCCTGGAATCTTGCCCTGGACTCTGGACAGTACACACTCGGGACAGCGAGGGGTGGGCTGTAGTTCAGTCTTCCAGGACAGCCTGCTTCCTTCAGTCCTGGGGGGCGGGGTGGGGGCGCAGAGGAGTTCAACACCTGAAACGCATTGTGACCCTGTTTGCCCCCTGGGATCATGGGGACGCCCAGGCTTCTCCCTCAGCTGCACAAGCAAGAGCAGCTGAGTGCTTGCAGGGTCTGTTTACATCAGCAGAGATCTCATGCACTCACACCACAGCTCAGGCTTCTTGATTATCCTCCCACTCCCCACCCCCAAAATAAACTCCCTCCCGGAACTCCAAGCCATTCAGTTCAGCCATAGTCTTAAAAACAGTAGCAAGGGTTGCGGATTTCCACCCGGAAACGCCTGCAAGCAGGGATCCTCGGCTGTCTCCCAAGGTACAAGTTGGGAAGGTTTGACCAGCTCTAGCCCCACCCCTGGCTCCAGAGAAGGAATAACAGGAAAAGACAGCCCTGCCCCCACCCCCAACCCCCCCCACAAAGGACAAAGGAAATGGCAAATGTCCCTTTGGGGCCATATCTTCTTGTAGGAGAGGGGACAAGGGAAAAGTAGAAAACAGTCACCCCTTCTCTGGTGCCTAAGTCATTTATCGTTGGCCGCAGGCCCGGCAGTCATCTCTGTGGGAGGGTGATCAGCACTTCGGAGGAAGGGCCGGGGGTGACCACAGCCAGGCTCTGGCTGAGACTGGGACTGGGAAAAGCAAACCAGGGCCCGGACAGACGCTGCTTTCTCTCAAGTCAGCAGCCCCGCGTCACAGCCGCTCATTAAGCATCCACTTGACGCCGGCGGGGTGGGGGGGGTGGGGGAGTGAAATAACGCAGGCCTGGCACCAGAAAGAGCAAATGTGGCACCCATGACTCCTTTTAAGGACCGGCTCTTGGAGCTGCAGGCTCCGGCGCACGAGGTGAGACACATCCTTGTGGGGAGGCTCTTTCTGGCTTGCCTCTTCACAAGCTCTCCAGGGCAAGCGCTCCTGCAAACCTCAAAAATAACCAGTAGCCGGGCCTTTTCCTTCCCTGAGGCACTCTGGGGACTCAGCGGTTCCTCTCCCCTCCTGGAGGGCAGCTGGTTTGGACCAAGAAAGAGGGTCAAAAGTCACCTTGATAACCATCTGTCCATACAGAAACATCCTAACCCTAAGTTACCGAATCAGGGTCTCCCCTCAGCAGGGGAATCACCTGGAAGGCTGGCTCCCTGGTGACAGGCTTGGCAGGCCTAATGTTTACCACCTGTCCCTTCATGTTCCTTTCTATGCATGGTTTCTGCCCCAAGGGACCAGCTTGCTCTGGAAAACATCTCACAGAAGTACTTCCTTGTACTGCCATGGGGGCTCTTCCCTATTCACCTGCCTGCCTCACATCCCTCCCAAGCATCCCAGCTCACCCATCACCACATTGTTCGCTCATCAATCCCCATCTGGTTAGGAGGAAAGTGAGGAGCCAAGGCTCTGGTCAATGCTGAATGTGGTCTCACTTCACAGGTCCCTCCCTGAAGCATGCCACCTAACCCCCAGGCGGCAGGTCGC